CCCCCCCCCCCCCCCCCCCCCCCCCCGGTGTCGTCCGTCCTCCCCTAGTTGTGCTCATGCTCCATGCTCCTGTCGTCGATCAGGCTGCTGCCGCCGCTGTTTTCGCCCCCAACCTTGGTACTTGCGCCGTGCTGTTTCACGATTTGTATTCCAAGTATAGGGGATATCCAGAGCGTAAGGCAACTTGTGGAAACCGGAGAGGTCAACGTCAACCAGAAAGGCGCGCAGGACCGAACTGCCCTGCACAGGTGTTTGAGAGCTTTCGAACCGTGTGGAGAGCATCGCTTGGCCGTGTCTGTTGTATGTAGTTTATGGTCCATCGATTCTTGACTGTAGCGCCGAGTGGTGCCGACTAGAGTATGAGATACGACCCCCCTCATGTTAGCAAACGACACTCTTATCGTGTCGCTGTCGTCGTGGCACAACATAACCGGCTTTTCTCTCACTCACTTGCTGTCGACTCCCAACACATCCCCTCCGACTGCTGTGGTGTTATCTCGAGCGGGGTAGTTCTTCTGTGCTGGTGTGCATATTTTCTCAAAAACATGCAACGTATCACGTATCACGCGTGCCGTCTCTCTCTCGCTCCTTTCTTGGTACCTTCAGGCCACTTCCACTTCCGTCGACGACTTGGCCCATGTTGGTGGATATTAGCTAATGCTTCGAAGGATTTGAACTATTTGCGAATCTCTCGCCCACCCCTGGCAATTCCTGTTGGTATGCCGATGCTTCTGCGGTTTTCATGCGCAGGGCCGCGGGCGCGAATCATGTGGGTATCATACTTTACCTCCTGCAAGCAGGAGCTCCCGTAGACACCGCGGACAGATGCCTTCGAACGCCGTTGCACTGGGCGGCCATCAGCGGTCACCTTGACGCTACTCAGGTGCGGGTGATGCTGTGTTCACCATGGCCGGGCAAACGCCGCTAGAATAACTCCCCAAAGAAAACGTAGGGATGATTGATGACCAGCTTTCCTTGCTCATCTTTGTAAAACGTCGCGTGGGTCGGCTAAAACCGAGCGTATCGCTCCGTCCCGGCATTGTAGGGATGCGAGGTCAATGGTCCAACAACTACGGCATGCGTTTTCATGAGTCCCCTCCTCCCCCCAATATGTGTAGGCTTACGACGTAGTAGCAGGGATAGATGGGGCTTTGGTATTTTGTGTCCCGTCGATTCGATGCGGCGGGCGTCATTTGCCGCGTACATCGGTGCTTGAGGCTGTTTGGGGGCTTATTTTAAAAGTTACAAAGTTGAACGGGCTTTTTACACAACTCTGACGGAAAGGTTGTGCAAGGTGAGGGTCAATCTGGTTTGCACCCGCTAGTGTCGGTCACAGAGACCGCTTCCAGCTTGCCGCTTGTCCCCCTCCTCGTCATCCAACTTTTGTCTCGCTCATGTCCGGTGCGATTGCCCTTTGTTGTTAGCTGCTTTTGGAAAGGGGGGGCGATCTACGAAGCAAGACCGTTAGCGGCATGAATCCTCTCATGTGCGCTGTGCAGCAACGATGGCATTCGGTGAGCTTTTGTTGGCGGCAGCGGTGAAGCATGCGGAACCCCCATGTGTCGTGGGCAACCAGCCCTTGCACGTATACACAGTGGTACACAAATCAGCGAAAAGCATGGTCCGTGGTACGCAGGGCATTAGTGAGGGGGCATTTTGTGTTTTACAAAAATTGTGAAAGTTGGACTGACTTGCAGAACAGTATTTCAGGCCATGAGATGATCGCCGGGAAATGCCCAGCGGCCTGTGGCTGATACGTTTTGCTGGTTTTATTGTGCAGTGTGGGAACAGAGTAGTACGCTTGTCCTGTGGCCTCCCTGTCATCAAGGCGTGCTTATTTTTTGTTCCGTGCCCGTCTTTTGGCCGCGAATATTTTGAATGGTTATCGTGACGTTTCGCTGCAGGTGGCGGAAGCAATCCTCGAGTGGTCGGAAGGCTGCACCGAGGACGAGGAGGGAGTGGACGGACCGGTCCCTTCCCCCGCTGAGTTGTGCTCGGCTACGGATGCGGAGGGGAAGACGGCGGTGGTGTTCGCGAAAGAACTTGTAAGATTGCGGCCACCGCTGCACCGTCCGTGTGTGTCACTTCTGTGTGTGTTTTTTGCAATCCAGGGTTGCACTAGACCAGACAGAGCTGTAACGTTCAGGTTGCTTTAGTCGTTGGTGTTGGCGTGACCCATAACGCACCGTCTCAGGAAAGGAGGATAGGACAGGGGTGTACCGCCTAGAGCAGGGTGCTCTCCATACACACGATTGCCAACTGGGAGAATGGTAACGGCGTGTTTTCTGCTCTTGTTCAAGAGCAGTAGCAGTTGGTTCCCTTGGCTGTGATGTTCACCCTCCGGAAACATGGGTGTCAGCTGCTCCGTGCGGATACTGCTGCTGTTCGTGCCTGGTCATCGCGTGCAATTCGCGGCCACCTCCCCCGCCACCGCTCATTAGCCCTCTCTACGTCACCCTCGCTCCTGCGTGTTTGTTCTCAGGGCGATGTCCCGATGCAAAAATTGCTCAAGAGCTACATGCCGAAACAGCCCTCGGCCTGGTGTTGCGGCGGTGGTGCCGTGCAGCAGCAGCTCTCAGCCGTAGCGGTGCCACCGACAGCAGAAGAGCCTACCATGGCGCCGGGACACAGTCGCCAATCAGGCGACGACCGTGTTGCTGCTGCTGCTCCGGTGTCGAACGACGTGGGCAGCGGCAAGGCGGTCGATGGCAGTGTTGGAGGCGGCGGCAGCAGCGGCGGGTGGTTTCGGCGAGTTTGCCGTTTCATGAGGTGTGGCAGAGCGCGGAATGGGTGAGAGCTGTCATAGTATGCCCTCTGCTGTGCATTGGAAGGCGTTTTGTTTTTGTTGTTTGTCGCCTGGTGTTACAAGGTTTTAGGTTGTTTTTGTTCGCGACGTTCTGCAAAGTGCGTCTTGTTTGATAGTCTAGCATGAAACATGACGATTGCGTTCCCGCTTTGTAGCACAGGCCATTTGGTTTGGTGTCTTGCTTCGGTTTACGGGGGAGATGCTAATGTACCCAGTCTTCGGGGTGCTACCCGGTGCCGCGCGGTACAGTACTCGAGTGTTCTTTGTGAGCTGCTTCGCATGGCACCACAGCGCCAGTCGCATGCGCTAATTGTTTAGGACCCGATCAAATACCCATCGCACGCGGGGTCCCATCCATCAGCAAACCAAGGGTTCCGATAGAGATAAATACGCTACGCCGTGTGCTCTCTGGAATTCCACAGCAGGACAAGCGGGACAGCCACGCCGGGAGCGACGGCACGCAGCGCAGAGTCCTCGGGCTCTGAGACAGCAGCAGCAGCAGAAGCAGCAGCAGGGGACGGTGCTGCCGGAATGAAGGCCGATGAATCTCGCGGTGGCAGCGTTGCCGCTGCAGGGGGCAGCGGCGGCAGCGGCGGCAGCGGCGCACGGAGCATCGCAGCCTCTGGCAGCGCGAGCTCCGCCAACAACGTGGGCACCAACCTCCCTCGCTCTGCCTCGGGAAACGGTGTACACGCGCACCACCGAGGGGGGGGGGGCAATGACGGGACCCTGGCGATGAACAGCCCCGCTTCCGACAGTGTTAAGGGCCTCTCGTCGTCGTCGTCGTCCATGCCCGGACCGCAGCAGACCGCGCTGCGGTCGGTTGAATACGCGCCCATGCGGACCGAGCCGGCGAGCATAACGGTGCCGATGGCCGACGAGGGCATGGGGCGCGGGAGCGGGGAATGGGCGAGGAAGTTGTCTTCTGGCGGCAGGAAGCATCGAGAGCGGCACGATAGAGAAGGGCCGGGGGGTGGCTCGGGGAGGGTGATGGGCGCGCTGCGGTCGCGTAGCAGGCCGAGGAGCGGCGTGGGTAATGGAGAGTCGGGAAAGACTCGGAGCAAGGATGAAAGAGCAGGTCAGGTCGGGTTCATGTAGAGATACGCGGTTGACGTGCTTGACCATGACTTTGTTCTGCATGCAATAGTACCCCCGACGCATGCGAGACTGCTGTTTCATGTGTTTACATGTGTGGGCTGACGACCTGCACCCCACGTCGTGCGCGCTGAACATTTGTTGCTTGCGCGCGCAGGCGGCGGCGATGGTAGACTTGGGGGTGTATCGAGTCGCGGTTGAGGGCTGCGGTGGCGAGAGCAGTGGCAGCAGCAGCAGCAGCAGCAGCAGCAGCAGCGGGTGGTGCGATAAACGCCACGAGGCCGGAGGGGGTCGCTGTTGATAAAGAGTCGCCGTCACCGTCCATGCCCTTTGCCGGTAGCAATGCACCTGGCGGTGTCGGTGCCATTTGCTCTTGTAAGGCCTTTCGGTGGTGCCATTTCGATGTTGCTGTGGCTGTTGACGATCGTCTTTGCTGGCGAGGTTGTTTGCCTGTAGCACAAACTGTCGATGTCATCTTGTTGTAACTTAGAAACTAACCACACTACACGGGGCAGAGCGGAGGGGCCGCTATGGCCCACCTTCATGGGGGGGATTCATTCGCATGTGCCGTTTACTCCCTTCGCTCGCCTGTCTCTGTTGATATGTTGATGTTCTTGTCCGTCGGTTGTCGATGCTGTAGGTGTTAATATTGTGATGACAGCCCGCGCGCTAGTAGAAGTCTCGTCTCATTACTCTCTCTCTGCTCGTGTCCTCTTCCCGGAGGAAGTGCGGTTTGGTGCTACTTATGGGCGTGCTCACGAAACGCGAGCACCACGTCCGTGCCCACGTGCTGCCGGCAAGCTTGACTGCCTACCGCGCCCTTGAAGCGTGGGCGGCCTTCGCTGATAAAGCGCTGTTCGAGGGCGAGAGGGGTTGTGGGGCACTACGTTATAATTCCCACAAAAGTGTTGCTGTAGCATACGGACGGGTTGATGTCTCACCGCGGTGCCTGTGCGGCGATGACGAGCACTGCTATTGCGTTATAAGGGGTAGACTAGAAAGAATGTTGACTTGACCGGGTTCCTCCCCTGCACAAGGGCTAGATGGAGCCTGCCTCTGTAGCAAGTTCGTAGGGCCGTCCGTGCCCCTGCGAGCTGTGCGTCTCTATCTGTGCCCCTTTGACATGCCCCCATATTCGAAGGGACTACATGTGTTTTATTACCGAGTTTTGATTGATTCTCCACACGGTTTTTCGCGTGTGGATCTTTTGGGGGATGGGGGTAATGAGTTTTAATCATGCGGAGCTAGGTAGAGTAGTGGGTAGCAGCTCTCGCATGCACGGCGCGCGCGCAAGGGCATCAGGCGGTCGCCAGACCCGTACATGCCAACGTGAACGCGGCGTGTCGTTGGTAGTGTACTATGTGGTTGCCTGCAGTAGGTTTAGTGTTGAACGGTGGGTAGAGGGGGGTCGGGGGGTCGGTCTGGGTCGTAGTGTTTTTGCTGTCGTAAAATGGATCAATCCTGAATTAATTGACTGCCGTTGAGGCCGTTGCTCTTGGCGGAGGGACCCTTGCTTGTGTTCCTGTGGCGAGAAAGCGCATTGAGTTTTATTGTACAGGAGGAATATCTCCTCGTGCATCCCCCACACAGCAGTCTGTCTCTCTTTTAATTGTCGAGTGTTTGCGAATGATCGTTGGGTTTAATGTTTCTCAACTATTGAGTGCGTGTCTCGTTTTTCAGTCCCGTCATCACAGCACGCGTAGGAGACAAAGGGTAAGGCACGTTTGTTACTTGTAGCATGTTGTTGTGTCCAACTTTAGCCTGGTACTACATTTTTTTTGTCGACAGATAAACGCGTTTTTTTTTTGCATTTGCTGTGTCCAACTTTTAGCCTGGTAAAGTTTTTTTTCTTTTCTGTGTCGTGGAGACATGTGTAGTCACATTGGTTCAACCAGCAGGATTCCACTAATTGCGTTGGGCGGAGAGGAAGGCAGCGCGTGCTACGCTTTATTGTTTCAAGTGGCCGCGAATCTTGTGTTGTTTATACTGGTCATAATATAGGGTATCCCACGACCATTGCTCCTATCTGCCTGGCATGCATATGTACGGTCGTGCGCGGGGCAGACTCGCGCACATGTGGAAATTGGGTTGGTCTCGTCATCTTGTTGAAGGAGGGTCTTCAAGCTTGCTCTGGTGGGCTGACAGTCGGCGTAGCTTCGGTATGATGGAATGGTTATCCGCGAACCCCGTTGTAGAGCTAGCTTATGTGCAGTTAGTCTAGAGGTTTGTGACTGATCGAGAGCAATAACGGAGACATACACGTATGCGGCTGGCCGAATACCAAACACGGATGCATGTGTGTGCTGATTGGATTACCTTTTCGCGGTGATGTTTTTAGTCTCAGGTTGCCCTTGGAAATGAAGGAAGGTTGCCCTTGGAAATGCAGGATGGTCACCCCTTCCCGCGCACCTTTTCAGATCTGTTTGTGTTCCTGTCGCTTCAAGCCGTTTGGGTATGTGTGACATCCGCATCCCGCGCGCTTCTTATCGGCATGAGTGCGGTACACCACACTCGCACGTGTTGCGAGCAATGGCACCACACAAGATGTTAGTGAGCAGCCCGTACGTGAACGGTTGTTCTGTGTTGCACTGCCTAGCATAGCGTTCGAGGACGTCTACACCGCAGCGTTGTGTACAATATTCGGTTAGTAAAGAGTTTGAGCGTCTTCCTAGAATCGCCGTTCGAGAAAGTTTCTTGATCGGGTACCTTTCTCAACTTGATGTGCTCATAGCATGTAGCACTATAAATAACAGCTTCCGGTACTACAACAGCAGTAGCTGGAGCAGACCAAAGTCGCGCGAGACACTCACTGCACGAACAGTTTTTTTCCGTTCTCGGCGAACTGTTCTGGCATCAACCGATCGTGGTGATCTCGATGTTCAATCCGTGCGCACCACGTGCGTGGTGGTCTCGATACCACATCATGCATGCGTGGCAAATGACTTTTTGATAACTCTACATAATCACTCGGTCGAAGAGTGTGGATGTTTTCACGTTATGTAGCAGCATGGAAACCTCCCCCAAGGCACTTGCAGTACGGGCCCGGAGATAAGAAACGTCAAGATCGGGTCGAGGCTCAATCCCTTATTTTGGGTCGAAGGACCAGGCGTCCATTTTCTTGAAAGGCATTTCTTATTCCTTTGGACTGTCGCATCCTCCAGAGTCTCCTATTTCTTATTTTTTTCTGGCTAAAAATACACACCAAACATTCGTGCAGCATTAACCAGAAACTCGGTGTGGCGAACATTGCTCTACAGCACCAGTGGGTAAAGCAGCCCGCGGAGGCGCGGAGTAGCCAGCGCGCTCGCGCGGAGGGAGGCAAAAGGGGGGGGTGTACTTATACTCACTCATAGTCGTGCATGCCGTGTCGTTAGACCGTTGACCTCGCATCCCTACCAGAAGCCGGGACGGAGCACGCCGGGTTCTCACCGGACCAGGCTCTCACATCACCAAGCGCGACGCACCGTGAGGTACTCGGCGAGTCGCATGAAGGGTGCGCTGCATCCTGCTAAAGGTGTTCGGCATCTTGTGCTTACTTCCTTGCGTACGGATGACATCTGCGTATTGTATGACTTAATATATTTTCTGGTGCTTCAACTTCCAGAGAAAGTTGAAAGCACTGTGTAACTGCCTCGAGGGTGCTTGACCATTTCAACACAGCGTGGCGGGATTATCCCCTTTGCGCGGAGTGGAGGTTCTCGACCCCGCACAACATAATCTGCTCGACCATCATTTATGGCTACCGCAAAAAAAAACAAGTCAAAAAAACAAGAGGTAACCTGGTTGCCGAGCTCACGAAGTTATCGGCTTGTTTTACAACATCTCTGCCAAGCGACGAAAATCCAATCCCGATGGCATACACCGGGG